GAATCTCTAGCGCGTTCCTTCGCATGGCTTATCGGAAAAGTTCCCCACCCTGGAGCCTACCCATGGAGATTTTTCGGATGATTTTCCTACCGCATCACCGGCACCCCCAGTATAAGGACGAGGCACGAGGATTTCAAGAAGAGAACCCGTCGATGGAATGGCTGTCTCGGAGAGCTCGGGGATTCTTATGGGATGTACGAGGTGGGGGGCGACTTCCTATGGATTGGCATCGGTCTTGGGGCTGCTGTATTCCAAAGCCGGCCACAACTATTTCTGAACTGAAATCTGTTCGTTTAATACACCGGATGTGCCCCTTCAGTAAGGCATATGCGAAGTATTTAGGCATTCGAGGTGATCAGTGTTACCCAGAACGAGACTATTCGTACCATCTGCACGGCGGAGTTCGGCATCGACGCCGAGAGTCTGCGATCAAGATCCAGCTCATTACGAGCTGGCGATTGGCCCGTCTCCGCATGTCGCATAGCACACTCTTTTTTGATCAGGCCAATGCCTTCGGCAGTATCCGCGCAGACATCCTGGACGAAACCGACTACTTGCACATGCACCCCGAGGACGTGTTTTTCGGACATCACAGCAATCATCTTAGCACGGTTACTCTGGACGGGTCCGACGGGGTCGGCACGTTTCAAATTCAAGAGGGGGTTCTCCAGGGACATCAGTCTGCGCCCGTGAAATACATACGTAGCTACGATCGCAGTGTGCTAGTGCCTTGGCTAGAGGCGCGCAGAGCCAGACCAGGAGGACAGGACTTTATGTGCACGAGCCCCATGAATGACATTGAGGATTTTACGATTGACTTATCTACCACTGTATATCTTGATGATACTGCACACAAGGTCGTGGCCATCTCAGCCGAGGCGATGGATGACGAGACCCGTCATGCCACCAACAGTTTGGTTCAGCTGCGAGCACAGGCAGGCGGCGCTCTTAATTTTGACAAGCAGGTCACGGTACCGCGGTTCGTGGGGCCTGGCGCCTTGAAGGAGTCTCGTGCGTTTACTGACCCCCTTCGGGGTCTTCCAGGCACAGTGAGCACGCATGCGAAGTATCTCGGCGTTCAGTATGCAGGCACAGGTACAACAGCACTACAACGACAGTCCATCCTCAAGAACATGCGCAGTGCGCGGCATTCAATGGGACGGTTCTGGTTTGTCATGCATGTTCCGTTGCGTATTCAACTTCTTGTGTTTCAAGCACGAGTGCAGTCAGCAGGTCTCAGCGGTCTCGAGGCGTTCATTCTCTCGCCCATCGACTTTAACCTTGTCGACGGGCTGCTTCTCAAGTGGGGTCGCACGTTGCTCAAAGGGGCAGCCGCGCGGAAGATTCCGATGGCAGACGGCACACTCAAGCACGTCGCCCTCCTCCCGCACCGAATTTGGGTCAAGCTTGGGCTGACCCCGACGCAGCTGGAGCTTCGCATCAGACGATTGCACTGGCTACAGCAGCTGGCGCGGCACCGCCGTGAGAATGTCCAGCTTCTGGCGGCTCTTTTCGGCCAAATGAGTGGGGAGGAGCAAGCCGCGGTTGAAAATTATACCCTTGTTCGAGATGATGCCGGGCTCTGCACTGGGAACCCCTGGGCGCTCCAGGCCTTCAATGACCTCAAAATGCTCTCGCTGGTTGAACGGGGCCCTGAGCTTCTAAGAGATCTTGGCCATATGTTATTTCGCGTGTTCACGGAGGAATTTGGAGTGCGATTTTCGGAACTCAATTTCGGCCAGCTTCGGAAACTGTTTCGGGAAGGACGCATTGATGAGAAGGGGGTTCGACGAGGACAAGGAGTGGGACAGGGGGTGCAGGATACTGGAGGAGAGGATATATCTGACCCCGTTCCACTTCCTCCCCCTCGTGCTTGGCGATGTCAAGAATCCCGCGATGATGGCAGTGTCTGTGGGTTAGAATTTTGTGATCAAACGGCGTGGTATGCACATATGCGTTTCTGCACTGAGGGCAATCATGGGCACCGTGCTCTTTCTCAGCTCCTCACGGTTACCAATCAGTGCCCATGGTGTATGAGTACTCACTCTACTGTTGCGATTTCTCGGCAGCATGTTCGGCGTCTGTTCTTACATCGTCGTTGTCAGTGTGACCGAAGCCCTGTGCATCATCCCGTGAAGGTACCTGACAGTTTCCAGTGTCCCGCTTGCAGTGTTGATCATCCGACGCTTGAGGCTCTGCAGGTTCACGTTCGATCTCACGTCGCCCTTCCCGACGCAACCCTTTCCTTCCTAGTCGATGACGTGGGCCATGGAGGTGGCCCCTGTGGAGGTCGAGAAGGCGAAGAAGCGCCTGGCGGAGCCCTCAGCGCAGCCCTCCTTCAGCGCTGGCGGCAGCGGCGAGCGGCGAGATCGCCGGGACAGGCGCACGGCGCCACCTGCGGCGGCAAAGGGCACCCAGCATCCCGAGGGCGGCAGCGACGCGGAGGACGACGCGGCCCAGGAGATGATGAAGGGGTTCCTCAACACATCTCAGCGCCTTCGCGGAGTGGAAGGATGTCTGCTGACCACGCACCTCTTGCCGAAAGAGCACGTGCTGAACGGAGTTGCGGTGGCTGCGGCTCAACAATACCAGGAGAAGACCGCAGGCAAGGGAGATCACGATCAAGGGCCCCCGAGTCTCCATGTCAGTCTGGCGGTACTCAAGGCAATGTGCACCCTAGACGAACTCACCGCGAAGCAGGAGTACCAGAGTCACCTGAAGGCCTTGACAGGCCTGATACAAGCAGTGACCGCCCAGCCCTTGCCAGTAGCATGCGAGACTCTCAAATATTGGAGGGCCAAAGCGACCTTTCAGAGAGACGGAACCCCACAGCTGGTTCGTCACACGTTTTTTTGTGAATTCCTGGATCCAAGGGACAGGGGGTCTCATGACACCCATGAATGCAGTCATCGTCGCTCTTTTTCTTGCCCTGGGGAGCCTGCCGAAAATGGGACCCCCCCCTCGCACGACGCAGGAACGCAGGGTACAGAACTCGCTCGAGAAAATGCTACGAGGGGCCCGCCACAAGAACTGGTAGATGAAGATCCTGACGCCTCTCTCCGTCCTCCTGGGAGCTCCCCTTCGTCCCTTCTGCATCCTCCTGGCACTCTCGGATCTTTCTCTGAGCGAGGCCTGGTGCGGTTTCAAGGCGAGTGGAATCCCATTAATAGGCCACAAGGTAAAGGGCGCCCTCGGGGCAAAGGCAAAGGCAAAGCAACGAGGCAAGGCAAACAATGATTTCGTCTTCGCTTGTGTCTCTTTTTTTTGATGCGCGTGGGGTGCGCGTGGGCTTGTTGTTTCGAGAAACAGTAGTTTGTGCAAGTTTAAGGCGAGAGTTTGTTCTGCTTGAGTTTTGCCACGGCTCACCTGCCGTGAGTGCCTGGCTGCCCGTCCCCTCTCTTCCTCCTGCTGCGTCTCTCCGTGATCCGAGAGGATCTTCATGTTCTGATATGTGCGTGCAGGCCTCTCGACCCTGCATCACACTTAGGGAGTCCCCATCTAAGTGTGGGGAAGGGGCTCCCGATACGTTTGACATCGAAGGGGTGCATAGAGCCTCCCTGACCGCCCTGCGGCCAAGCGGACCTGTTGACACTGGGATCGAGGCCATATGCAGATTGCCAGCCAGCCAGCCTCCTCCTCCTCCTCCTCCTCCTCCTCCTTCTCCTCCTCCTCCTCCCCCGCCGCCTCGTCATCCCCCACCTCCTCCCTGGCGGAGGAGTGGCACCCTCCGTCTTCTCATTTCCCTCCCTCCCCATTGCCCCTTTGACCCCTCCTTGGACGAGGGAACGGCACGAGCGGCGAGGGCGAACGAACAAACATGAACCTGGCGAAAAACCCAACCATACGCAGTTGTGAATACCGCAGTTGCGGGCGCCGTCTTCGATGGAGCTCCCTATGGGCCACGAAACGCTGTACTGGGTGGGGGGGACGCATGCGAACTTTGCCATTGGGGCCTCGGTAAAGTTCCCTATGGGCCACGAAATGCTGTACTGTGTGCGGGGAACGCATGCGAACTTTGCCTCTGGGGCCTTCGGTGGAGCTCCCTTTGGGCCACGAAGCGCTGTACTGGCTGGGGGGGACGCATGCGTACTTTGCCACTGGGGCCTTCGGTGGAGCTCCCTATGGGGTCACGAAGCGCTGTAGTGGATGGTGGAGGCGCATGTAGACGGTGCCACTGAAGCCTTGGGTGGGGCTCACTACGGGGCCATGAAATGCTGTGGGTGAGACGCACGTGGACGGTGCCTTTGGCGTCGTCGGTGGAGCTCCACATGGGGCCACGAAGCATTGCACTGGGTGGTGGAGACGCTTGCCGACGGTGCCACTGTGGCCTTCGGTGGAGCTCCCTACGGGGCCACGAAACGTTGCACTGGGCGGGGAAGACGCATGCGGAAAGTGCAATTGAGGCCTTCGGTGGAGCTCCCTGTAAGGCCACGAGGTGCTGTACTGGTAGGGGGAAACGCATGCGGACGGTGCCACTAGCGCCGCTGGTGGAGTTCCCTATGGGGCCACGAAACACTGCACTGGGAAATCCTTATGGGGCCACGACATGCTGTACTGGGTGGGGGGACGCATGCGGGCGGTAGCACTGGGACCTTCGGTGGAGCTCCACATGGGCCAGTGGGGCAACGAAGCGCTGTACTGGGTGGGGGGGACGCATGCGGGTGGTAGCACTGGGGCCTTCGGTGGAGCTCCCCATGGGGCCACGAAGCGCTGCACTTGGGTGGTGGAGACGCGTGCGGGCGGTAGCACGTGGACCTTCGGTGGAGCTCCCTGTGGGGCAACGAAACGTGTGAGCGGTGTGGCACAGTGAGGGAGGAGGAAGAGGAGGGGGAGTAGTAGAGGGGGAGGAGGAAGGCAGGAGTGAACGCGGGGCGCCGCCTTTTCAAAACGAGTACCCAACACCACAAAACGGTTGGGAAAAATGGACGACGCCGCATAAGCCCTCGCCGCCCGAATCGCCCGGCGACCCCTCTGCGAAGGGAGGCGGCCCGACCGCCCACCTCTGAGCATGCCGGGCCCGCAGCGCCACCCGGAAGGAGCGGGGAGCAGCCGCGCGCGCCCGGCCGCGCGCGAGAGCCCCGCGCCCTCGGAGCCGCGGCGGGCGGGCTTGCATGCGGGACGGCAGCGCCGACGAGCGGCGTCGCACAAGGAGTGGCCCTCCTCCTCCTCCTCCTCCTCTTCCTCCTCCTCCTCCTTTTCCTCCTCCTCCTCCTCCTCCTCCTCCTCCTCCCCTCCCCTCCCTCTTCCTCATGTTCGTCGTCATCGTCGTGCTCCTCCCTCCTCCGAGCATTCAGCTTGGAAGCTTGCAGCAATTTCTAAAAGCTGGGGAGCGACCCGCTTTGGAAGGCGTGGCTCTCGCTTTGGCGCCGTGCACTGTAAGCTTCAAAGTGTTGCCACATATTAGGGACAGAGGGCGGCTCATGTTCAACACGCGGTCCTCGTTCTAGCGCCGCGCGCAGTTGTTGGAAATGCGCAGCAGTTTCAAGGACTCGCACGGCTGAGGTACCAGGAGTCGTGCTCTGGTGCGACTTACACTCGTCATGCACAGGTCATGTTGGCTCGCGGCGTGAGTCCCATGAACTACGTTCTAGCACGAGTTTAAGACTGTCAGGACGCAACTGTAACAATCATTCGCGGTGTTAAGAAATCCCAGTAATGGTGTTCGGGGACGATCTAGAACTGTCAGGACGCAACCGTCACGCTGATTCGCGGCGCTGATCGTCCAAGAACGGCGTTCTGGCGCGACTGGGGGTTCTCAAACGTTTGTCTTCCGTTGGGGCACTTCCTGCAATGAAATTAAATCCTACCAGCCCTCTGGACGTAGGTGGTCTAACGAGATTCCTCTTCCCTCTTCCAAAAAAAAACAACTCTTCCCGTACGGGGAGGGGTTTACCCCTCCTCTTACCCATCTCATCCCCTGGATTTTTTTTTGGGTGGGGCCGAGAGGTGCTAGGGCGTCCAAAACGGCCTCGGCGAGGAAGCCAACATCATTGGTTGTACGAAGGTTTTGGCCCCACGTTGGCCTCTTTGGGGAAGGGGCTGAACGTTATCCCACCAGTCCTCTGGGCGCTCAAATCATTGGTTTTACTCAGGTTGTTGTCTCATGTTGGCCTCTTTGGGGGGGCTGAACGCTAGACCATCTCCTCCTTTGATCGGTGGCCTTCAAGATGGCCCCAAGAGGGCTTCCAGGACTCCCAAGAGGGCCCCAAGAGAGCCCTAAGAGGGCTCCAAGAGAGCCCCGAGACCCCTAAAAGAGCCCCAAGAGAGCTGGACGGTAGTGGTGGAGACAGTGGTGAGGACAATGGTGGGAACAGCGTTGACAGTGGGACAGTGGTGGGGACGGTGGTGGTGGGGACAGAGGTGTGGGGACAGTGGGAATGTGGTGGAAACAGTGGGACAGTGGAGGGTACAATGGTGGTGAGGACAGTGGTGAAGGCGGTGGCGAGGACGGCGGTGGGACAATGGGACAGAGGTACAGTGGGGACAGTGGTGGGGACAGTGGGGACAGTGGTGGGAACAGTGGGACAGCTCAGTGGGACAGCGGAGGAGTCAGTGGGACAGCGGGGACAGTGGGGATAGTCGGGCAGTGGTTGGGGCCGTGGAGCGAGCGAGCGTGTGGCGCAGCAGCAGTCGAGTCGATAGCTGAGGCCAGCGAAAAGGGATGGGAGGAGACTCCTACCCCTCCGCCAGAATAGAGCAGCCAGCGAGGCGGCTCCACGGCTATGGAAAATGGCATCCCAACTCTAGTGGGGCCACATGGAGGAAACGTATCGACGCCTCCAACGTCGGCAGCCTCGCGGCCCCGCACACGGCGACGAGGACCCAAGACAGGGCACCGACAGGAGCGTGCCACTTCCGCAACCCCGAGGGTTACAGACGGTGCACGCCCCACCCCCGCGGGGACGGTCCAACCGAAGCCCCGAACCCAACGAGCGGGACCGACGGCAAGCCAGGGCCCCAAGGGGCCCAGGCGGGCCTGGTTGGGGCCGTGGAGAAAGTGGGGAGAGTGGAACCGTGGTGGGAACAGTGGTGGGGACAGTAGGGACAGTGCGACAGTGGTGGGGGCACTGGTGGGGACAGTAGGGACGGTGGTGGAACCAGTGAGGACAGTGGTGGTGACAAGCGGCAGACGAAGTTGGAGCCCGATGCAGCCGTCAGACCGAAGGTGAAGACATAACCCGAAATCTACCGCCACAGGCCTAAGAGCAACGCGCGCGAGAATGGCGAGCAGTGGCGGTCTCTGCTGCCACACGCCGTGCGAGCCAAGGGGAAGGCGACGTTCGAGCTCGATTTCATCATCTACAGCTGTGGGATCAGAGCGAGAGTCGCAGCCCGCGCGAGAAGGGCAGCGAAATGGCACGGGGAGCGAGCGCGCAAGGCAGGCTCGCCAGGGTGCTGTAGTAGCCTCGCCAGCTTTCAGTTCGGCCATTCTATATGTCGCCCCAAGGACGGATTGGGGACAGGTGGTGCGTCCTCGCTCGAGACTGGTGCCTAGTCGGACGGCTAGACCCATGATGGATCCTCCTCCTCCTCCTCCTCCTCCTCCTCCTCCTCCTCCTCCTCTTCCTCCTCCTCCCAGCGCGGCGGACCAGTCTGTCGACGCCCAGCCGCTCGCCGCCCAGTGAAAACCTCCACGCACAAGACGATGATGGTGCGCAGCGGCACCGCGCCCCGGAGCCAGGTCGGCCAGCCTGCGGCCGTGCTAACCGGCCAGCTCATCAGCCAGGGCGATGCGCGCCACCTCGGCGCGCTCTTGGCCCAGCGCGCTGAGCAGCTGGCGGGCGCCCCAGCGCTGCGTCAGGGCGCCCGCCGCCCCACCGACGCTGTCCTCGTCCTCCTGCTTCGGGAGGTCCCGCGCGAGCTCGCGGAGGTGCCGCAGCGCTGCGCGGCCGCGCCGCCCTCCAGTTCCAAGCGCCATCGGCAGCTGCGGCTGGGGGCAGCGGTCCGCTGCGTAGCGCTGGCGCTCGTCTGCCCCTGCCGCCGCATTGACGGCACCCTCGCGTTTAAAACAGGGCTAGGATCGGGATAAATCGCTCCAGAGCGTTCCGGAGCGCTCTCAGAGCGTTCCGGAACGCTCTGGAGCGGCCGCGGCGCCCAATACATCCTCCAAACCCGCCGATTCTCAGAGCTTTCGAGTTATCCCGATCCGATTTTGTCCCGATCTTCGCGTCGCTTTAGCGTTACATTCGCCGCCGCTGCCAGCGCCGCCGCACCAGGCGCGGCATGCCGCGCGGCGACGCGCGCGGGCAGCCGGCGCGCTGAGCGCCTCCAAGTCGAGGATCACCGCCTCTCGGCGAGCGGCCCGCGGCCGCCCAGAAGCGCGGCCGGGCACCCGCTGCTCGTCGGCCGTGCCCCGCGCGTTGCGGCCGGCGCAGCGCCACTGCCACCTGTCGGGGGCAGTGGCCCGGCGGGCGGCGCATTCGGGGGTGGAGGAGGAGGAGGAGGAGGAGGAGGAGGAGGAGGAGGAGGAGGAGGAGGAGGAGGAGGAGGAGGAGGAGGAGGGGGGGGCTCGAGGCGGTTTCATTCTCTCGTGAGCCAGGTCGGGCATACGGGGGGCCCGCTGGAGCGCCGCCTCCACCTCCGCCGGCGTGGCTCCCGCGGAGCGCTTCGGGAGCACGCCGCCTTTCCCCCTCCCCGCTCCTCATCCGCCCCACCGGACCCCCTGCCCCCTCCTCGTCCGCGCCTGGTTCGGGGCGCGCGTCGGGCGTTGTTCGGGGCGTGGTTCGGGCGCGATTCGAAGCGTGGTCCGCACGTAGTTCGCGCCTGGTTCGCGCGTGGTTCGAGCGTGGTTCGGAGCGTGGTTCGCGCGTGATTCGCGCGTGGTTCGCGCGTGGTTCGCGCGTGGTTCGGAGCGTGGTTCGCGCGTGGTTCACGCGTGGTTTGCGCCTGATTCTCGCGTGGTTCGGAGCGTGGTTCGCGCGTGGTTCACGCGTGGTTCGCGCCTGGTTTGCGCGTGGTTTGCGAATGGCTCGCGCCTGGTTCGCGCGTGGTTCGCGCATGTTTCGCCCGTGGTTCGACCGTGATTTACACTGTTCCACGAAGTGGATACACCGTAGAGCCACTGGTGGTCCACGAGTGAAAGCACCGCGGATCCACTCGAGAGTCAGGGCTCCATTGCTGCAGGCACTGGCTGGGGAACGCTGCGCGCAAATCCGCCGAGAGCGAAACAAAAACGAAAGCGGGCCGCAGTAGCAGGGGGCAGCAGGGGGGCACGTTGAGAAGGAGCGCGCATGCGCGGATGATGGCACGATAAATGTGCGCAAAGCTCCGCGCACGTACACCAGTCTGTTTGCGGCCTGAACTAGCCCATCGGGGCTTTCCCACCGTAGGCCTGTGGACCAGCGAAACCAAACGATATTGCCAACACGTACATTGCACATCATCAGTTTCAACTCGCAACTTGGGCTCTGACGTTAAACAAAACATTGGCGCTGAACTGGAAGCGACTGCCGCGCTCACGAAAATCCCCTGGCGAAGTTTCCCCACCCAGCAAACGTCGGCGCAGCTCTGCTGTCCGAGCTCCCCCCCGGGGGGTCCCCGTCGGCGAGAGAGGCCAACAGTGCCTAGCGCAATCACCGACCTAAGGCGACGTGCGTGCGCGACTACGACAAAAAAACGAAACGGGAAAGGAAAACACACACACACAACCCCATCATTTTTCAGCGCAAGAGAGCCCCCACTCCATGAACAACCACGCAAGTGAGCACCCCATTTAGCAACAGTGGCACCGGTGACCCTTCCCCACGGGCTCGAAGCCATTCAAATCCTCAAGCCGTGCCAGGGAGAAGCCGCACAAAGTCCCATCAGTATCCATTCTGCAGAACGCCCAGCCTGGCGCGCGCCACGAAGCCATCCAGGAGGCCCAGGCACCAGCCCAGGGTAGAGCGTCGCCCGCCCGCGTAGGCTGCTGCTCGTTCTGCCGCTGGAGCTTCCGAACCCCGCAGCCAGGAACTGTTCTGCGGAAGCGTCCGAGGCAGCCGCCTTCGTCTCGGCCGCCGCGGCGGCCTCCCACGGGGCGGGCGGGGCGGGGACTTCCCTGGCCGGGTCGATCCGCGAGGGCCTCAGTCCCGTGCGTCGCGGGTTGCCGCGCCAGCCTGGCCTTTGCGCCCGCCAAAGGTTTTACAGGGGGGCGGAGGGGGGCAAGCGG